CTGCAAAGAACATCAAACACAGTTAAGGAGCAGAGCAAGGAGCAGCCCGAGAGGAGAGCTGCCAAGAGGTTAGGGAAGGAGGCTCTTAATCGGAAGTCCGTTCAGTCCTCGACGTACAACTCCAATTGAGCCCCAAATTCCCATGCCTGAGCAAGACCGTGGTCGATTGGCGTTTGAGCCCATTTTATGACCTTTCTTGCCACCGTTGTTAAGTGAATCTGGCTTCCTCATGGACTCCGCTGGTCAGAAGGTCGCCAAAGGGGATCGCGTGACCGCCAGGGACGCCGCCACTGTCATAAATACGAATCCGTTGGCAAGTGCCTGACTTTTTCAATGCTGGCTGTTATAACTTTGAACCAGGGATGGGGTGCAAATATTTTTACTACCACTTCTGTGGGCGTGGCTAGATGGGCATGGCTAGATGGGCATGGCCATGTGACTGGGTGGGCGTGGCTTTTTTTTTTTCTGCAGCACCTTTCCGCACTCTGTTTTTTGCCTCTTGGGTCTCAGGGAAGCCTCCGGGGAGCCCATTTTTGCTCCCCGGAGGCTTCCCTGAGGCCCAGAAGGCAAAAAACTGAGCACAGAGGAGGGGGGCCGTGCAGCACACACACACACAACCGTGCGCCCTTTTTTGCCTCCTGGGAAGCCTCCTGGGTGAAGTAGTAAGACAGCAAGGAGGATCCCAGTGGAGCTGATCGTCGGAACAGCTGATTGTCGGAACAGCTGATCAACGGAACAGCTGATCGACAGAACAGCTGATCGACAGAACAGCTGATCGACAGAACAGCTGATCGACAGAACAGCTGATCGACAGAACAGCTCATTGTCGAAACAAATGATCGACAGAACAGCTGATCATCGGAACAGCTGATTGTCGAAACAGCTGATCGACGGAACAGCTGATTGTCGGAGCAGCTGATCGACCGAACAGCTGATCGACAGAACAGCTCATTGTCAAAACAAATGATTGACGGAACAGCTGATCGACAGAACAGCTGATCGTCGGAACAGCTGATTGTCGAAACAAATGATTGTCGGAACAGCTGATCAACAAAACAGCTGATTGACGGAACAGCTGATCGACGGAACAGCTGATCGACGGAACAGCTGATCGACGGAACAGCTGATCGACAGAACAGCTCATTGTCGGAACAAATGATTGATGGAGCAGCTGATCGACGGAACAGCTGATCGATGGAACAGCTGATTGTCGGGAGGGGGGAAAAACAAAAGCTACCAGCTTGGTTCAGCCGAACTCGTAGCTATTTATTTTACTACCAGTTCATCTGAACCAGGCCGAACTGGTAGAATACTACCACTGCTTTGAACGGTCACTAAATTAATGATTGTTAAGGCAAGGACTACCTGTAGTAGAATTTGCTAGGACCCCCTCCTGAAGGTCCAAAACTGCCCCCTTGACCTGGGCTAAGGCAAGATTTGTCCCAGGCTGTCTTTGGGGTCATTTTCTTACGCAGGGGTCATTTTCTTACACTGTGAAGAATAGGGGCGGGGGAGGACAGCACTCACTGGGACACCCAGGCGACCAGAGCCTCCGTTTTGAAGATCATCTGGTTGGTGCTGCTGTTCTGGACGAGTTCGCCGTTCACCCGGCAGCGGATGCCCAAATTGTGAGGATCTGGGAGGGAAGGAGAGAAAGAGAGAGAGAGCGTAGCTCCCTGAGATTAAAAGGAAGCTGTTTGCTTGCTTTTTAGAGCAGGGGGTCCCCAATCATGGCGGCTTTTAAGAGTTGTGGACTTCAACTCCCAGAATGGCTAAGGCATTCTGATTTTACTTCTTCTAGTAGACCAGGGGTCTTCAACCTGGACAGTTTTAAGATTTGTGGTCTCCCAGAGTTCCTCCTCCAGTCATGTCGATCTATCTATCTATTCTATCTATCTATCTCTATCCTACCTCTCTTTATCCTATCTATATATCTATCTATTCTCTCTCTCTCTCTCTCTCCCTATATCTATTGTATCTATCTCTATCTATCTATCTATCTATCTATCTATCTATCATTCATCTATCTATCTATCTATCTATCTATCTATCTATCTATCTATCATCTATCTATCATCTATCTATCTATCTATCTATCTATCTATCTATCTATCTATCTATCTATCTATCTATCTATCT